CAGAGCCGCCCAGAATGGGAACAGGAGGTCAGGAGCGGCTGGTGATGGGGACAGAGGCTCAGGACGCAGGGCAGGCCAGCTCCCGCTGAGGCCACAAAGGGCGGCATGGAGGGGCCTCAGGGGCCTCGGGGCTGCCCTGCTGGGGGAGTGGGTCCTCCCCGCCCCAGCTTTTCAGTCTGGCGGGTAGAAATGAATTTCTGCTCTGAAACCCTGAGGCCATAAACTTCCCCAGAAGGATAAGCATCAAAGGCGAAGGCCGCCAAGCAGATTATGATGTAAATAATTAACAAAGATGTAACAGGAAGATGGAGAAGTTAGGATTTCAAAGGGATTTTTGGAAAGGTGAGCTACGGAGCTGTGAGGAAAGAAGTGTGTGTTCTGCCCCATGTCCTCATCCAGCTACAAACTGCAGCTACACTGGTCCGCCCTGCATGCAGCGCTGAGCCTCTTCGGAGTCCTCCCTCTGAGTCCAGGATCTCCAGCTCCTCGCGTTTGTGAATTTCCTACAGACACTTCCTATTTCTCTCTCTCTCTCTCTCTCTCTCTCTCACACACACACACACACACACACACACACACACACTTCTTACCAAATTGCACTAAGCTGATAATGCAAGTTTCTTTCTCACCGAAAAATAAAGATTCAGCCCACCCCACATGGGTTAGCGAACTGTTTTGTCTATAGTAAACTCAGATGTGTTTAGGATTTAAATTTAGTGTATACAGACACTTTTTCGTAATTAGGATGTGTGTATGTGCTGTGATTTCCATACACAATTACACATAACAAATGGGACAGGCGCTGGCGCTCACGCTGGATCCGTAATTCTCAGCGCCAGGTAAACGGACCTGGGTGGGCAACGGCAGCTTACGCGGCTGCCAGTGTGCGCCAGCATTTGCTTCTATCCCCCAAGAAGCAATTTTATTAAAAACAATTTACATTTTCAAACAAGGACTATTTTTTATTATTAACATACATCTTTCTCTTTTTTTGTTTTTGCGAAACAGCAGTTCCTCAGGCTTTCACGATTATGTTAGTACTTGATATCCTAAGGGATTGTTTCTCAATTTGTTTTATCTTTAATACACACTCAAGGATTGTTTTTTTCTTTCTTTCTTTTTTTTTTTTTACTTACTGGATGGATAACCCTATTACTGTTTTTAGCATTCTCTCTCTTCCTTTCTCTTTTTCTATGTACATTTTTTTTCCCACAGTAATACCAAGAAATAATGCAGGTGATAGAGTACTTTCAGGATTCTAGAATGTGATGGCATTTTTCCTTAATGGAGAAAAAGCGTAAACAGTCCCTACAATGAACAGAAATAAGTTACCCAGCTCAAGTTCAAGGCCAACACAACCCCTAAGCAGTCATGGTCATAAAAGCATCAACAAATGACCAGATCTCAGGACCTTCCCCTCTAAAGTCACAGCGGAATACCCTCAGGGATGCGTGGAGGCAAGTCCCAAGAGGAGAGCCAACCACAAGCTGAGTTGGAATCTGCTGGCAGCACCATCTCTGGCTGCTGCCATATTAGCATGTCTCTGTGAGCCTGAAAGTCCTGACCCAGAGAGCAGGTCTTTGCACCCCGCCTCCCTCACTTGCTGGCATCGGCAAGAGGTGCAGCATCAAGCCACGGTGCAGGGGTCAGCGGGACTGGCAAGAAAACACCTCTAGACTCTTCTTTCCCAGGGGTGGTGGGAAAGAGGCTCTAAAAAAGAGACAGACATGACTCAGCCCTAAGCAGAGTTCCCTGAGGCCGTAGGGAGAGAATCCGTAGGTGCAGGGTGGGCCAAGGAGTTGGACGTCAGATCCCACTAGTTCCACTCAGCACCTTGTGATGGACAGAGTTCAGGCATAAAGCTGTGATTTTCCAAACTTCCTCTACAGAAAAGCAAGAATTCCTTTCCTCTGGGGCAGTAATGGGCTTCACTAGTAGCTAGGTGGTATTTATAAAATTCTGATTTTTAAAAACAAAACTATAAAAAAAAAAAAAAAAGCAAACCCCTTTAAGCCTCACACACAAAACAGCCCAAATCTAAAAAGACCCACGTGCCAAATGAGAAGTGTAAAGAAGGGGGGTTCCTGCCACTTTGTGAGGTGGAGACAGGAGCACAATACACACGTTGGGAAAAGTGTGTTAATTTTCCTTTTATCCCTAGAGCGAGATGGCATGTACTGTTCTCTCTTGCTAAAAGCCTATGTTTAGACTGGTGGGAAGAAGAGAAACGCTAATTTCCCTGCTAAGTTTACAGCTCTGTTGACTCGGTGCTATATTGAATCGGCCAAGGTAAACGAACCTGAATCTGCTCGGCTGGAACGTGGATGATGTGGGGCGGCCTGTCGCCATGGTGATGTACCGCGTTGCTCTCTTGCTCATAGATGGCGTCGCGTTCCGGCTGGGGAAGACTGAGGAACCTTCGGATCATGGAGAGATTCTCCCAGAGGGTTCTGTTTTCCGGAGAAGGATCTTCCTTCCAGCGTAACAGCTCACACAACCACCCCTGTGAGACAAGGGCATGACAGGTCAGTCCGTGCCTGGGAGGCTGACAATTTCCATTACGAGCTTGAAAGGAAAGACCCTGTGAAGTTAAGTTCTGTGAGAGCCTCAAAACCATCCAATCTGCTTAAAAGTTTTTTTTTTGACCTGTTGAGAGAATTGGTTGGCTGTGGCTGCTGAGGAGGCCGGCTGTTTCTAATGCATGTTCAGATTTGCATCTGAAAGGAGGGTCATATTTTTCGGACTCTCGGGGCAAGACACATTTACCATGGACTTTACAATATGTAGAAGAGGAGAAAAGGAGAGTGTTCCCGGCTGGAGTGTCTGCTGAATGGCGATCTGGGGGCTCTGAGGGTATTTAATTAAATAGAGCCAGGGCAGATTTTCAGAATGCTTTTTTCCTAAGCTTAAAATTTTTGTGTTCGAAAGGAATGGTGAGTGTGAGTGTATGGGAGAGAAAGAAAGAACATACACAGCTGTGTAAGCAAGAATAGTATCCAATGTGAAACACAACACTACAGCGGACATTAGAAAAAATTCTTGGAGAAAAGTTCTCCAAGAACTTTCTATTAAAAGACACTTTGGAATCATGATTTTCCATCCTCTGCTGTCTACCTACAGTTTACATGTGATCTGTCAGGTGAGAATTTTAATCGATTTCTTAGTCTGAGAGGGAAAGAAATAGCCAAAGAAAAAAGCTTGAACCTCTGTGTTGCCCAGGATTTGAAAGACACCGCCAACCCATCAAGAACTGGCTCGACAAAGCACACTGTCTAGATTTTCTGTTCACCTTGGTAGTCACGGACACCAAGCACAGGGTGGAGAGGAAGAGGGCAGCCATCCCCTCACCCCTGCACCAACCAAGGCAACCAGGCTCAACCAGCAGGCTGCCTGCTGACAGCTCACATGACACGTCTCTGGAGAAATGTCCTGGAGTCACGTCACTTACTCCATTCCCTCACTGACCACTTTCCTGGGGTGGTGAGTAACTGGTAAACCCTGGGTACAAAGTACCCGCTCAGAGACCTGAGTGACAACTCGCCCTCTCTTTCGCCTCCATCTCTAGCCAGCCCTCCTGTACTCCACCCACCACTTAGCCTCAGAAGTGATCCCGAGACCCTGGTCTTTCTGGGGCGCTTTCCCTTCCCTACACTCCTCATTCTCTCAAGTTCCTCCACCAAAGATGGGCACCTGATTCCTTGACTTAGACCAGGTTCCCTAAAAACAAAGGCTAAGACAAATGGGTTTCTAGGAAATTCCAACTACGTTAGCTGAATGGGAAAGGAGAGAATATAGTTTCTTTTAGATCTGATTTTTAGAACTAGTCAGAGGTTTTTTTTTTTTAAATGCTGTCTTTGGGGGTGAAACTAGGCAAAAGCATGACTCTCCCGCCCTTCTCCTGAAACTGAATCAATGGACGGAAAAATTCTCCTTCCAAATCGACATACAGTGGGCAGAAGCGAGGCCCAGACTACCCCAAATGGCCAAATGGTCTATTTGAGAGGTTTTTTTTTTTTTAAAAGATTAATTTTTATTTGTGCATAGAGAACTGGGGTATAGGCTACAGGTGCAGGAATGGTGAGAGGATTCATCAGAGACAGGGTGGAGAGCCGAGGGCGAGATGGGAGAGGTCTGCTGCGCCACGTGGGTCACACTGGGGGCCAAGGACCAAACGTGCACTGAGGTGGCTGCAGCTTGCTCACAGTGCTGCGCTTTAGCCTGCTGGACCACCAGGGAGGGCCCCTATCTGAGAGGGCCTGCTAACCAGGCCAGGGTGACTACTGCCCAATTTCACAGATCTAGCACTGTTTCTAAGAGCTCTGACTCTCTAACTCACCAAATACTCACACAGGCAGCCATGAAGTCATGCTCGCCACTGAAACCATAATTCAAGGCTAAGAGACTAAGCTGTTCTGAAAGAATGTTAGCTAGAAAATAAAAGTATAAATCACCAAAAAAAAAAAAAAAAAAAGACTAATTGGAATTACAGTCCACTGAGTAACTTCTCTTCCAGCCATACCAATGCCATTCTGACTTCCAGAATAATATGTGAGATGATGGGATAGTTAAGCTGTAGTTATTAAAACTGTAATATGAGCTAAAAACTACATTTGAGTATTTCAAATATTAAGAGACCCACTTAGATGCCCTGAGGATGCTTATTTAGCACTTACTAATATTTGCTCTCAGGATTAAGACATGAAAATATTTTGTTTCCAAGATACTTCTTTACAGTTTATCTCTAAGTTTTGATGCTGTGCAGATTTTAGATATAAATCTTTCTGTTTGCACATCAACAATAATTAGGATGACATCCCCCCACCCCATCTCCATTCTTCAGCCAGGGTAAGTAAGGGGCTCCAGGCCCAAACACAGAGCTCACTACAATTTTATTTGCCTTTTGAAAAGATGTTAGAAGGCTCACAGGGAAAAGAATTTTTTTTTTATTTCTTTCAAGTTGGCAATTATTATACTATTGCCATAAGTTCTAAACTTTGCATATCTCTGGATTTTTTTTTTTTTTGGAGAAATTAATCCTAGTAGCTAAAAATTACCAAAAGTTAGAGAATGATTCATGTAAGAAAAGCTTTCTTGAGAGCTGGAAAACTCCAATAATTTTTCAAATCCTTTAGAAACTTTTTAAAGTACTGCAGAGATCAGTTAGCGCTCGGATCTATGTGAAAAAAAAAAAAAAAACATGTGGATCACAGATGTTCTTTGGAAGAGAAAATCATTAGTTCTTTTAAAATGGCTAATAATGATAACTAATTCCTAAACAATCACATTCATGCTGGTTTAACAAATATTTCAGAAAAAGAGCCCTGACTCATTCAACAAATATTTTGCTCATATTGTCACTTCTGTGTCTATAGTTACCAGACGGGTCCTTATTTTTATTAATTGCCCATGACTAACATAACATTTCCAGTAGTTTGCTATTAACCTCTGCCCTTAAATAATACTTCTAATTCCTTATCTAAAAATAATTTGATGAATTACAACTTTGAAGCATGTCTCTGCTAGCCTTTCAAGAGACACAATGATTTTAAGAGACTGAAATCAGATGCTTCCTAGAAAAAATATTTAACGGTGCAGCTGGGAACTGTTAGATCTACAAGGGTATCCAAAAAAGGGGAGGAGGGGAGGTGCTTTCCTTGATGTGCAGCATCTCTCTTAGAAATAATGGAAAGCAGATATTTTGACACACTAGTTCTTTGTCAGCAGAGAAATAAATTGGCTCATTCCCAATTTACACTGGCAAAAATTAGATTAATTTATTCTAACACTATTTTAAAACCCTGGAATATTCTGACTACTTCAGGTTCTATTGATTGAGACCTTATTAATGATGACAGTAATCTGATCTATGTTTTTCAGACAGTGACTTAAAGCAAAATGCTTTCCAGTTCCCCATTACCTTCCTCCAGGTGACTCTCAGCTAAGTGATATTGTCAGAAGAGAGAAACCTGGGGAAACTATGAACATGTCAGAATAACTGTAATATCTGATAAATGAAACTAATGATTCCCCTAAGGACTGTACTGGTTTGTAAACAATGAGTCCAGATTTACTGGGAAAAATGTGCAACCCTTTTATGCTAAAATACAATACTGATCCCTCATGCAGGTCTCTGGGCCCTGACCCTGTTGTGAGACCCCAGGCAGGAGTAGGGAGCTACTCTCAAAATGAGGAGGTGGGATGAACAATCTTCACATAGTCAGAGTGATCCATTCTCAGAAAACTAAAATGGCACAAGGAACAACCTAAACTTTAAATGTAGTAAATTTGCCAAGCAACATTACAGTGCATATAAAGAGGGCAAAATATAAACAGTAGCCACATGTAAATAAATCAGTAAAACTTTCAGGATGTTACTACTTTTCAAACTGACAAAGTTTAATTTGACACCTTCTGTTCTAAACCCTTTGTTTCTATTCAAAATCACGCCTTGAGCTGTTGCTATCAATCACAGCGCTCCCCCTATTACTTAAAAAAACTGGCATGGACCCTGAATAAGCTGAAAATGCCATGCAGATGAATTCTGAGATAATATGCTCAAACCTGTTATATACAACACAAATCCTGTAAAGTTATGTATTGTAAACCTACATTTATTGAGAACTAAAAGTCTTAAATCCATCTGCCACAAAGGAAATACTGTTATGTACTTTATAGTAACCAAGAACCATCTGCAAATGTCTTGCTACCGTAAGCAAGAAAATGGTGCAAAAGATGCTAAACCTCAAGACTGCATGAAATAAAGAACATTCTTTTGACTGGCTTTGGTTAGGGCTCTATTAAAGAAATGTCGGATGGAGGGGAAAAAAAAAGTAAAAGAAAAAATGCGGAGTGACTGCCAAGCCAGTACTGAAAAAAAGCAAAACAAACTCAATGACAACACAATGGCAATTTATTATGGTCCATGAAACACACGACTGTATGCTCATTTTAAAGGAAAAATTAGCAGTTCTAAACTCAATATTCTAATGATGTGCTTTTCTGACAGAATCTTGTTGTACCACATTTAAATAAAAATCCTGGCACCTTCATCTCTCAGCTGCTAATTTCCAACCAAACTCAATCTCTGATTTCCACTCCACTCTTTTTAGAACAGTTAATTCAAGTCAATTCGCTTCTAACATTTTTCACAGATAAGGGGTGCACAATGATTTTCATTGAGTCAGAAAAGTAACCTCCTTTCACGAACAAATTTCGGGTATCTATAAAGCCTCACTCACTCACTCACATGAAAAGAGAATCTTTCTATGGCCTGGACGATGACAAAGCAGGATGCATGGAACACAACTAGCTTTCCTGAGAAAAAAAGACTCCAGTCTTCTCCGAGAAAGAGAATCATTTAATACACAAATATGTACATATTATCATTATGTACATATACATTTTAAAGCCAAGAGCCAGAAAAAGAGAAAGAAAATGACATAATTCTTGCTGCAACTAAGAGGGAAAAATACATTTTGAAAAATAGAATGGTAATTTGAGTTC